AATCCTTTGTAAACCTCATTTTCTTGTTCTTTTAACCACATTTTTCATTCCCCTCCTGACCGTTTTTGTTTTTGTTTTTGTTTTTTTTGAGACAGAGTCTCTCTCTGTCATCCAGGCTGGTATGCAGTGGTGCAATCTCAACTCACGGCAGCCTCGCCCTCCTGGGTTCAAGTGATTCTCCTGCCTCAGCCTCCTGAGTAGCTGGGACCACAGGTGCATATCACCACACCTGACTAATTTTCTTTTTTGGTATTTTTAGTAGAGATGGGGTATCACCATGTTATCCAGGATGGTCTTGATCTCCTGACCTCGTGATCCACCCACCTCAGCCTCCCAAAGTGTTGGGATTACAGGCTCCCATCTTCTTTTTTTGACATGTCAGTAGCATCTATTTCATGATCTAAGACAATTGCTTTTCCTGATGTCTTTATCAGTCTGATATTGCCATGCTTTCTTGGTTTTCATTCATAAGATCTTGTTTCCTTGAATACTTGGAGATTTGTGTAACCCGACTTTCCTTAGAAGGTTATTTGGGAGAATTGTTTTGAGTCTGGGTTTAAGATTCTTTTTTAAGAATTTGGAGAGAATTTGCATTTGCTTTGACTAGCCTATGAGGGAACTTACAACCTGGGACTTTAAAATAAGTTATCAGCTAAAGATTCCTTAAACTGCATGTGTAGCATGAATTAAGACCACAAACCTCCATTATGGCTTGCAGTTACAAATTTGAAGATCCTTACTCTCCCTGTAGGATCTTTACTTTAGAATGACAAGGGACATCGCCTCCAGAATCAGATATCCTAAACCTGCCCTGCTGCATTCTACCTTCTCTGCCCCGCAGGAAGTCCAGGCCAAAATGTGTGCCAGCAACCCCAACTCCTTTATTTTCCTCAGCAACATGGCCATGCAGACCAAGACCAAGGTGAGCAGTGCCCAGGGCACAGGACGGCCAGTGGGAGCAGAAACACGCCCTGGGGGAACACGTGCAAACACACACCATTGCATAGTCCTTTGGGCCTCAGCCACTATAGCGATACTGAATTCCAGGAGTTCAGGATTCCCAACTATGCTCCCTGCAGAACTCAAGGCAGCCTTGTCCCTGTTCCCAGGTATCACGTGAATTTGTTTTGTGTCCTTTCATTTAGCTAAAATTTTGAACTTCTTTCTTTCCTTCTTTCATTCTTTCTTTCTTTCTTTTCTTTTTTTTTTTTT